TCTGATGCGTAACAAGTCATTGCAAAGACCGTAGCCTGTATCAGACGCACCTTAGTCTCCACAGTGACACCATTGCTCTTCAGTACCCTGGAGAAGTCCCTAACAGCAGACTTTCCCATCGCAATACGTTTTTTGATTTCCTGGCTACTGGTGCCAAGAGTGTTGACCGTGCCATTTTGTGAAGATATATATGTATATATACCACAGCTGCTCTATCCATTTGTTTGTTGTTGGGCACCTGGGTTACTTCCATTTCTTTGCTGTTGTGAACAGTACAGCAGTAAACATGGGTGTGCATATATGTGTTTGGGTGGCAGTTCTGGTTTCTTTATTTTGTTTTTGTTTTTTATTATTTTTGTGTGCGTGTACCGTCAAATCAGATCTGACTGGTACAGGAGGAGATTGTCCCTCCTTCCTCGGCAGAGCATCTGGTAGGATCGAACTGTGCGCCTCTGGGATTGTAGTTGCAGCTCCTTGCCACTAGGCCACCAGAACTCCCCAGTTCTGGTTTCTTTAGAGTATATTCTCAGTAGTAGAACTGCTGTGTCAAGTAGTATTTCTATTTCCAGCTTTTTGAGAAAGTGCCTTACTACCTTCTCTAGTGGTTGCACCATTTTACACTCCCACCACCAGTGAATAAGGGTTCCCACTTCTCCATAGCCTCACCAGCATTTATTTTTTTCTGCTTTGTTGAATTTTGCTATTGTTACTGCAATGAGATGGTATCTCCTAGTTGTTTTGATTTACATCTCTCTTAGAGCTAGGGATTTTGAACATTTCTTCATGTGTTTGTTTGCCATCTGAATGTCTTCTATAGTGAAGTGTCTGTTCATATCCTGTGCCTATTTTGTGATTGGATTGTTTATCTTGATGTGGTGCTCAAGTATTGTATAAATTCTAGATATAAGTCCCTTATCAGACATGTCATTACCAAATATTTTTTTTCCCAGTCTGTGGCTTTCCTTTTTACCCTGTTGGAGAAGTTTTTAAAATATGTAGGGATTTGATGCTTAGAAGGTCCCATTCATCTATTTTATTCTCTCCTGGTTGTAAGTTTTTCAGGATGCTTGAAACACTATTCATGTTGTAGATTAGGGATTCTTGAGGTCTTCTAAGCTTTTCTCTGATGAAGTTTATAGTCCTTGGTTTTAGTCCTCAGTCCTTGATCCACTCTGAGTTGGCTTTTGTGTATGGTGTGATATGTGGATCCTGTTTGAGTTTTCTGTAGATAGTTTCCCAATTTTGCCAACACCATTTGTTAAAAAGGCCATTGTTTCCCCACTTATTTCATCTCCTTGTCAAAAAATCAGTTGACCATAGGTAGATGGGCTGATTTCTGGGTTCTCAGTTCTATTCCATTGATCTATGTGTTTGTCATTTTATCAGTAGCATGCTGTCTTGACCGCCACAGCAGTGTAGTAGGATTTGAAATCGAAGTGAGATGCCTTATACCTTGTTTCTCTTTTTAAGGAGTGTTTTGCTTATTCAGAGCCTCTTTCCATTCCAGATGAAATTGGAAATTTCCTTTTCCATCTCATTGAAGAATGGAATTGGTATTTGTATTGGGAACACATTGACTTTGTAGAGATAGCCTTTGGTAGAATTGTCATTTTCACTATATTGAGTCTTCTTATCTAAGCATGGTATATTATTCCATTTCTCCAGGTCTCTCTTTGTTTCTTGTAGCGATGTTTTGTAATTTTCTTTTAAAAGGTCTTTTGTGTTTCTAATTCTATTAACTCCTAATTATTTAATCTTGTGATTAGCTATTGTGTTGGGTATTGTTTTTCTTAGCTCCAGTTCTTTATTCTCTTTGTCACTGTAGAGAAATCCAGTTGATTTTTGTATTTTTATTTTATTTTATTTTATTTTATTATTGTTTGTGTACCATCAAATCAGGTCTGACAGGTACAGGAGGAAATTGCCCCTCCTTCTCCATCAGAGAGCATCTGGTGGATTCAAACCACATACGTACCTCTGGGATTACAGTGCAGCTTCTTGTCACTAGGCCACCAGAGCTCCTGATTTTTGCATTTTAATCTTGTATCCTACCACTTTGCTGAATTGGTCAACTATGTCCAGTAGTTTTCTTGCTGAGTCTTTAGAATTTTCTAAATATATTATCATATCATCTACATAGAGAGATATTTTTACCTCCTCTTTACCAATTTGGATACCTCTTACTTCCTTCTCTTATTTATTGCGATTGCTGAGACTTCTCTCATAGACTGCCTAAACTGACATAGACCAAAATTTAATGCCTGAACAGACACATTACAAAAGAAGAAATTGAAAAGTTAATAAAACACCTTCCAACCAAAAAAAAAAAAACCCTGGACCAGATGATTTTACAAGTGAATTTTATCAAACATTCAGAGAACAACAGTCACCAGTTTTACATAAGACATAAGTATTTCAGAAAATAGAAAAGGGTGCAATTCGCCCAGACTCATTCTATGAAGCAAACATATCCCTGTTACTAAAATCTGGTAAAGACAACACCAAAATAGAAAACTGTAGACCAGTATCTCTCATGAACACAGATGCAAAAAATCCTGAATAAAATCCTGGTCAGTAGAATCCAACAATACATAACAAGTGTGCAAGGATGGTTCAACATAAGAAATACAATCAGTCTAATTTATGACTTTAACAAAGCAAAGGACAAGAACCATATGATCCTATCAGTTGATACAGAAAAGGCCTTTGACAAAATCAAACACCCTTTCTTGATTAAAACACTCAACAAAATAGGAATAGAGGGGAATTTCCTCAACTTAGTAAAAAGTATATTCGCAAACCCAAGAACCAACATTGTTCTCAATGGAGAGAGAGTAAAGGCATTCCCTTTGAGAACAGGAACTAGGCAAGGATGCCCACTATCACCCCTCCTATTCAATATTGGAACAAATGTTTTTAATGGGGTTTTTGTTGTTTATTTTGTTGGGTGCCATCAAGTGAACTATGACTCGCAGTGACTCTGTGAACAACAGATCTGAAATTTACTTTGTCTTGCAACATTCTCAACATCTCTGATATACTTGAGCCCATTATAGTTGCAGTCACTGTGTCAGTCCATTTTGTTGAAGGTTTTCTTCTCTTCCTCTGACTCTCTGCCTGTGCAGCATGGTCTCCAAGGACTGGCCCCTCCTGAGAATGTGCTCAGAGTATGAGGTGAAGTTTGACCATTTTTGCAGCTAACAAGCAACTTAACTGTACTTCTTAAACAAATTGGTTTGTTCTTTTAGCAGTCCATGGGATGTTCATTCTTCTTCTCCAGTACCACAACTCAAAGACAACAGTTTTCTTCTAGCATCCTTATTCATTGTCTAACTTCCAGATGCATAGGAAGTAATCTTGGGTCAGCACACTTAACTCTTTAAACTGGCATCATTGCTCCTTAGCATTTTGGAGAGATCTTTCTCTCAATGCAGCAGGTCTTTTGATTTAACTGCTGTTACCCTAGGTTTGTAGATTTGTTTTTGAGTCTCTTACCCCAGGTTTGCAGATTTGTTCTTGATTGCTGTTCCCCTGGATTTGTTGCCTTGGATTGTGGATCCAAGTAAAATGAAATAGTTGACAATTTCAATCTTTTCCCCATCTATCTTGATGTTGCCTGTTAGCCCAGTGGTGAAGATTTTGGTTTTCTTACTTGTTGAGGTATAACTCACATTGAAGGCCATAGTCTTTGATCTTCTGCAGTGAGCATTTCAAGCTCTCTTCACTTTCTGTAAGCATGCTTGTGTCACTTGTTGGTGAGTATTCCTCAAATCCCAGTGCTACATTCTTCTTCATAAAACCCAACTTCTCGAATTATTTACTCAGCATAAAGATTGAATAGCTATGTAGAACAGATCCAACTTTGACATATATATTTCCTGATTTTAAACAATACAGTGTTCCCTTTATTCTTTTGAGACAATGGCTTCTTGATCTAAGTATAGGTTTGTATGAACATGGTTAACATGTTCTGGGATTACCATTCTTTTCAATATTATTCATAATTTCTTTTGATCCATACAACCAAATGCCTCTGCATAACTTAATCATTTATTTTGTCTTTTGCTATTTGCACTGTATTATTACAGTATATAATTCATTATTGAAAGCTAGGCCTAACATATTGCCCTTTTTCTTGGAATTTTAAGGTTTGGTTTGCCTATCTGGGTTCTTAATCCATTTTTAATTTGTATTTATGTATGGTGTTAGATGTGGATACTGTTTCTTTTTTCTATCCAAATAAATTAATTTTCCAAAGACCATTTATTGAATAAAGAGCCCTGATGGCATATATTATATTACAAGTTGGACTTCTAACCAACAGTTTGGTGATTCTAATCCATCAGCAGCTATGTTCAAAAAATGGTTGGTTTCTTCCCTCAAAGATTCCAGCCCCAGAAACTAAATAAGGCCACTGACAGTATTAGATTTAGAGAAGGTTTATTTAAAAGACTCCTTTTTCTCCTGATATTGAATGAATTTAAGCGCCCATATTAAAAATTAGTTGGCTTGGATGTGTGCATTTGCATTTTGGTTTTGTTTTAGTCCATCACTCCTCTTTTTTATATGTGTGTGTAGATTAAAGTTATTAAAATGACTACTTGATATGTGTTTGTAGGATGCTGAAGAAGACCATGAAAGGGCACATCAGATGATTTTATTGAGAAAACTTTGCCTGCCAATGTTGTGTTTTCTTCTTCATACCATATTACATAGTACTGGTCAGTATCAGGAATGTCTGCAGTTAGCAGATATGGTGTCTTCTGAGCGCCACAAATTGTATCTGGTAAGTTTTAGAGTATATGCGATTAATATGTCAATGATTGAGAATCTCTGTATTAATACTTACCATTTTGAGAGTTTTACATTCTTTAGTTGTTCTTTGCTTGATGAAATGGTCTATTTTTTAATGTTTGTGCTCAACAAGAAATACACAGACTAACTGAAGTTCCTGAATTGCCTCAGTTTACTAGCCCCTGACCACATAAATCTTAAAAAAGATCTTTTTTTTTAATCAGAATGATTAAATAACTTTAAATACATGATCTTCTTTGTTCCTATTCTTAACTTTTCCTTTTTTCCCCCTTCCCTCTTTTTTTTAAATCAGGTATTTTCTAAGGAAGAACTACGGAAATTGCTACAGAAATTAAGAGAGTCCTCTCTAATGCTTCTAGACCAGGGACTTGACCCATTAGGATATGAAATTCAGTCATAACTTATCTATTCTTTTCATCCCATTAATTTCCTTGATAAATGGAGAGTTTTTTGTAAAATAGAAATATTTGTATTTACTGGGGGTTTTTTTGTTTCAGTTTGTTTTGCATTGTCGTGGGGCTAAACATTTGTTAAATTTAGAGGTGTGAATTTTATACTTCATAGACTATTACAGCAACACTGAAAAATTACTGTATTATGTATTACCCTGTGTTTATTAATAAAAATGTGTAAAAACTAAAATTCACTCTTATAAATTTCAAGATTGGCTAGCATATGATGTTGTTGTTATGTGCCATCGAGTCGCTTGTGACTCATAACAACCCTATGTACGAGAGCCCTAAATGCCGCTCTATCCTGTGCCAACCTCGCCATCTCAAACACACTCATTCCCACCACCCCAATCACAGAATCGATCCATTTCATCAAGGGTCTTCCTCTCCTGCGCCGTCCCTCCACTCTCCCAAACATGATGTCCCTCTCCAAGGACCAGTCCCTCCTTGCAACATGCCCAAAGTATGTCACACGAAGCTTCAGAATACTTGACTCTTAGGAGCCTTCCGGCTTCACCTTCTCTAGGACAAACCTGTTTGTTCTCCTAGCAGTCCATGGTATATTCAACACTATTCTCCAGAACCACAGCTCATAAAATGTCTTTATTTTCCTAATTTTTTTTCATGTAATTTTAAGTTATTTCATATCTTAAAATTCTAAAGAGGCTAGAAAGTAAGTTCATTTTCAGCCCAGGCACATATTACTTCATTTTTCATAAAAGTTAGTGTTTTGTTATAGTTAAAATCAATATGACAATATTTTAAAAATATTAAGCTGTCTTCTTTATTTTGAGTACATTTCTAGTTTATTGCCTCTGATTCATCAAACTTAAATTAATGGGGCATATAATAACTTTGCATAGTATCTGTTACACAATAAGTATTGAATAAATCATAGGGTTCAAAATCAGTAAGTACACTGATGTTGTTGGTAAGTCCCATCGACTCAAGTATGACTCAGACCAACCCTATGAACAACAGATCTGAACCCTGTCCTTTCCTATCCCGTCCTTACCATCCCCGATACACTTGAGCCCATTGACACACTCGTGTCAATCCATCTCATTGAGGGTCTTCTTCTCATTCTCTGAGCCTCTACCTTTGTAAGCATGATTTTCTCCTCCAAGGAATAGCCTCTCCAAGTAGCATGTCCAGCGTGTGTTAGACAAAGTTGCACCATCCTTGCCTCCAAAGAGCACTCTTGTGCTCTCTCTAAGACATATTTATTCTTTTGGCAATTCATTGAATATTCAGTACTCTCTGAAACACCAAAACTCAAAGGCATCAATTCTTTTCCTGTCCAGCTCTCAGATTCATTGTCCAGCTCTCAGATGCATAGCAGGTCATTGGAAAGACTATGGCTTGAATCAGGAGCATCTTTAAATTGAAATCATTATTTTGTCATTAAACTGAAATCATTACTTTTTAGTATTTTGGAAAGGTTCCTGACAGCAGACTTTCCCCTTGTTATATGTCTCCTGATATCCTGACTCCTGGTACCAAGGGAGTTGATTGTGGATCCACGTAAGATGAAATCATTGGCAATTTCTATCTTTTCCATCTATCATGATGTTGCCTATTGGTCTAGTGGTGAGGATTTGTTTTCTTAATGTTGAGATGTAATCCATATTAAGGACTGCAGTTCTTGATCCTCTGCAGCAAGCACCTGAGTTCCTTCTCTGTTTTAGCAAGCAAAGTTGTGTCATCTTCGTAAAGCAGATTCTCAGATGCTTTGCTCAGCATACGGATTGAATAAGAAAAGACAAAATACCCTTTCCAGCAGTGACCTCTGCATGCCAGCATACCTCCTGCAAAGGATCTCCTTCATCCCTCTCCAGGAGAAGAGGAAACACAAGAAGCAGCACCTGGTGCAGAGTCTGAATTCCTATTTCATGGATGTGAAATGTCCAGGATGCTATAAAATCACCATGGTCTTCAGCCATGCACAAACACTAGTTTTGTGTGTTGGCTGCTCCACTGTTCTCTGTCAGACTACAGGAGGAAAAGCCAGGCTTACAGAAGGATGCCCCTTCAGATGGAAGCAGCATTAAGAAAGAAAAAAAAATCAAGATGAATGGAAATTATCTCAATAAACAGAATTTTGGATATTTTTTTAAAAGGACAAAACAAAGTATTATAATGGAACATGCAAAGAACTGGAGTTGGAGAATAAAAAAGAACTCATTTGGCATTTCTCAAGTTGAAAGAACTGAAAAACCTCAAGTTGTAATACTGGGGGACGCTATGGCGGAAAAGCTTGAATGATTCAGGAAGCTTCTAAAGAAAATGGAATACACAGAGTCACTATACCAAAAAAGAAAAAAAATGGTCACCCCTTAAATGTTTCAGGAATCACCATATGATCAAGAGCCAGTGGTGATCAGGGAAGTAGTTCAGGCTGCTTTGAAGGCATTTATAAAAAAATAAGGCCCTAAGAATCTATGGGATAATATAAAATATTGACGTGTTCCAAGTAACAGATGCAGCACTTGACATACTCACCAGTCTGTTTAGAAGAGAGCTACCCAGCCAATTGACCTGAAGAGATACAGATTTGTCCCCATTCCTAAGAAAGTTGATGGAACAGAATGTGGAAATTACCAAATTATGTCATTGATATCATATGCCAACAAAATACTGCTGAAGATCATTCAAAAACAAAACAGTACCTTGATAGGGAACTGCCTTCAAGTTCAGCCTGGGTTTAGAAGACGTGACACCAAGGATATCATTGCTGATGTCACATGGATCCTGGCTAAAAGCAGAGAATACCAGAAGAAATGTCTACTTGTGTTTTATTGACTGTGCGAAGGCATTTACTGTGAATCATAACAAACTATGGTTGACATTGAGAAGAGGAATTTCAGAATTTACCTGAAACCTGGACCTGGACTGAGAAACTCTTGTCTGAACAGAGCAAAGGGGTGCTGCATAGTTTCAAATCAGGAAAGGTGTGCACCAGGGCTGTATCCTGTCTCCATACTTGTTCATACTGAAGGGTTGCTTTTAAAATTGCAAATATCTGAATAGAAAGAAGTTATTTCCAGCTTACAGATCTTAGAGGAAATGTCATTTGGGCTGAAAAGTAAGCAACACTATGGAGCAAAGCATATAAAGTTATGTAAATAGGGACATTAAATAAAGCCTAGAAATGAATATAAGCTATCCTTGTTTATGGATCAGCATATGGACTGGAACCATAGGGCTTAGAAGTGAGAAATAGCAGAAGAGAATGATTTAGGTTTGTAAACTGGCTAATCATCTACAGAAACTTGTTAAATAAATACAGACTCGAGTCCTGGGAATATCCCATTCTTGCAGCTCTTGTCAGTCTGTCTCCTGAAGGATCTTTTTCCTGGCCCTTTACCACATAAAATGTTTTTCCAGGGGTTGACTCCTTCCTGATAACACATACGGAATATGTGAGTTAAAGTCTCCGAGGGGCACTCTGGATGCACTTCTTCCAAGACAGATTAACTTTTTGTTTTGGCAGTTCATGGACTATTTGCAGGGTTTTGCAGCACTGAAATTAAAGGGCATCAGTTCTTCAGTCTTCCTCATTCATTCATTCATTCATTCGTCAACTTTCACGTGCATATTCTTATGCAACAGGAAGTGCAGAGTGGCCCTGGAGCATAAATTAGAAGTTCTTTAATTTCTAAATCATCATATAAACTAGCAATGAACATCAAAATTAAAAATACAAGCACTGAACAAAATACTTGTGTAAAAATTATAAAATGTTGATGAAAGAAACCAAAGATCTAAATAAACAGACATATCACATTAGTTGATTGGAAAATTGGATATAAGAAAGATTGCAACTGATAAGCAGTAGGAAATCTGTTTCTTAAATACCCTGTAATAGTTTGAAACATCTTTCCAACTATACCTTCAGTGAAAGGACTTCTTTTGCAACTAACAGAAGAGTAGTAAACTCTTAATTAATGGAAACTAACTTTTCATAACACCCAGTGCTAATAGGGTGTTCTGGTGGCCTACTCAACAGGTAGTTGGACTGCTAAACTAAGGGGCCAAACCTTTCTCGTCAAAATCCACCAACTGCTTCACAGGAGAAAGACAATCTTCTCCAGTGCAGTTTACAGCCTCTGAAACCAGCTGGAGGATTAGCTGTTTCTAGAGTTAAGTATAAAGCCAGCATTGTTTCTATAGTATTTTAAAAAGAAAAAAACAGCAGAAAAACTAAGGCAAGCTTCCTTATCAAACTGAAAACCTCTGTTAATGTTTTCCTGTCAGCCCTGCAATCTATACCCAAGAATCGTTCCCTTTTGGATAATGCCAAGCTACTACTCAACTTTGGCACAAGTAGACGAGTTTATCTGGGGCATAATCACAACACCTGGACTAGGGGAGATGCTGTGGAAGTTCTCTCACATCCTGCCCTGCAACTCCTCTATATAAGGCCCCACAGCCTTCCAGATGGGGAACAGATTTGGGGAGCTTCTACACAATGTCTCCTCTATAGTGATAACCTGCTCTTTTCCACTCCAACTCTTGTCCAAACCCAGGATTAGTCTTCTGGCTACAGATTAACAGAGCTAGTTTTCCAGTAGCAACCTTTCTCTCCAAATTTACATACCAGTTTAACAATTTTTATCTAAATCCCAGCAAGATTTTTAAAAATATGTTACCATATATGCATATATATGGGGGCGCAGTCCATAGCAGGTTGTGCTGCTGAGTCAGTGTCTATGAAACAGCCAGAATCTCTGAGGGAGAAACATGGACAGTCTCCTCCAGTATGACTTACAGTCCCAGAAACCAATGAAGGAAATGACTCAGGGAAGCTCAACATCAAGAAGAAAATGATTGTCACCACTGAATTGGCAGCACCATGATGGATGGAGAAGAGATGAGGTTGACAGTTAACAGCTTGCTCGGCTCCACAATCAACACTCTTGGCACTAGCAGTTAGGAAATCAAAAGA